GCAAAACTCCTGTCAAAAATTATTGCTTCACGACTTGCAACTATACTACCCAATCTCTTATACATTCCTCACAAGCGGTTTATACCGGGTCGATCGGCAACATCAAATATCCGTAAAGTGTTGTCGGTTCTAAACCAAGCCTCTAGTGTTACATCTCTGGATACAGCAATTGTCTCATTGGACGCTGAGAAGACATTTGACAATGTAAATTTCGAATGGCTTTTCTTGACACTACAGAGGTTTGGATTTGAGGGCTCTATTATGCATCTGATCCAAGCAATGTATTCATCCCCAACAGCTCAGGTGGTAGCGGCTGGCCTCACATCTAACCGATTCAGTTGCACAAGGGCACTAGACAGGGATGTCCTTTATCCCCCCTACTTTTCACCTGGCCCTGGAACCATTAGCGCGCTTCCTATTATTTCAATCTGAACTTCATGTATCATAATTAACCAACAGGAGCTGAGACTTGCTTTATTCACAAATGATATTTTAATCTTCACCTCTAACCCATCCTTGGACCTGCCATACATACAGCTTGTCTTCTCCTCCTTCCGGCTGTGTTCCGGGACTCCAAATAAACTTTTCTAAAAGTGAGGTGCTTCCACTATGCCAATCACGCCCTCCGCTCTGGACTCAATACTCAATCTTTAAAATTGCACATAAACATATCACATATCTAGGCATAAAAATAGGGAAATTAGCTTCCTCTCTATACACGCTAAATTATACGCCAATGATTGCTAGGATCACTGGGGAACTGGAAATGTGGAAGGACCTACCGCTCTCACTTTTGGGCAGATCGCATCTTTTTAAGATGGTAAGCTTCCCAAAACTTCTCTATCCACTACAGACCATTCCTCTCCTCCTCAAACACAGCGACATAACCAAATTACATCGGGCTCTCTCAAAATTTTTATGGAAGGCCAAACGTCCCCGTATAGCGCTTACCAAATTATTTGTACCCCGCAGTGAAGGAGGCTCAGGCCCCCCAAATATACGGGTCTACAATCTCTCATGCATCCTACGTGTTGGTTTAGACTGGCTCACTCATTCCTCCAATTACTCCGATTACCATATTGATTCTGCGATAGCTCATCCCTATGACCCTGCAGCCCTATTACACAGTAATGTCAACTCTCTTCCACCACACTTAAAACATAACTCACTCATCCGCGACACACCCTTATTGCATGGAGGGAGGTAAGGCGAAAACTGGGGGTCTCACCGTGGCTGTATCGCTTTCTCCCTATCCAGCATAACCCCTCTTTCTCTCCTCCGCAATCCTATGATACTTACGAAATGTGGTCAAACAAAAATTTAACCCTGATACATCACCTATACGACACCTCTATGGGCTCTCCAAAACCTCTCATCGAAATTCTACAAACATATGATCTACCAGCTCATCACTTCTTCTATATCCTCCAAGTAAGGAACTATGTCAACTCCATTGCACCTATCAAATCTAATAGATTCTGTACGACATTTCTGGATGTAATTGACAAACTCTCGAAATTATAAAATTTCATCCATATATGGACCTCTGAACCTACTATATGCCAAACCCTTCCAGTCATACACTGCTGCAAAATCTTGGGTCAAAGATTTTAACAACTCTTTTACATCAGATCACTTGCTATCAGGCTTCAACTCCACATGCGCTTTTCAACCACAACAAATTTTGGCAGGAACAACTCAAACTCCTGCACCGTGCCTACATGCCCTGTCAATACTCACGAAACGGTTTGGCTCAGTCTATCTGTCCTCTGTGTGGTCAGCAAAAACCTTCTCTACACCATAGACTATGGCTCTGTCCTATGATTTCCACATTCTGGAAGCAAGTGGTCACTTTCATATCAAGAATCACATCGTTTCAACTTCCAATCCACCCACTACCTCTTCTTTTTGGATACATGGATCAACCAGTTATTGGTCTTTTCTCTTCCCAATCATCCACTTTCAAGAATAACAAACCCTGGATGTCCACATTCCTGCTAATAGCGAGACGAGCTGTTCTTCGTAAATGGATCTCCAACTCCCCTCCGACTCTATCCGACATCAGAAAAGAGCTCAACTCTCTTTTACATCTTGACAGACTCGATCTACTCATTTCTCCGACATCTTCAAAGGAGTCTCTCTATCTTCGCAAATGGAAAACATACATCATAGGATCCATGCCACCAGAGCAGTCTTTTTTTTTTTTTACAAAACTCCAACATCTGAGTTGTACATCATAGTCTTCCTTGAGTCCTGGGTATTAGAGATCATGGGACTATTGAACACTTAATCGTGGCGCGCAGACAAGGCGCGCTGACCCACAATGCATTCATTCATGACATGTGATCGCATTAGCCAATCAGCAGCCAGCCAGCCAGCACTGTGTAATGGTGGAGCTATAAATTGCGGCCATCTTACAATTCTCCATTTGCCTCTGGTCATTCAAGAGAGACAGACCTCTCTGTATTAGGGACAGAGTTAGGGCCACAGATACTTTAGGGACACAGAATTGTTACTTAGGGACACAGAACCGTTACTTAGGGACACAGAACTGTTACTTAGGGACACAGAACCGTTACTTAGGGACACACAATCGTTACTTAGGGACACAGAACCGTTACTTAGGGACACAGAACCGTTACTTAGGGACACAGAACCGTTACTTAGGGACACACAATCGTTACTTAGGGACACAGAAACCGTTACTTAGGGACACAGAACCGTTATTTAGAGACACAGAACCGTTACTTAGGGACACAGAATTGTTACTCAGGGACAGACACAGAATTGTTACTCAGGGACAGACACAGAATTGTTACTCAGGGACAGACACAGAATTGTTACTGAGGGACACAGAATTGTTACTGAGGGACACAGAATTGTTACTGAGGGACACAGAATTGTTACTCAGGACAGACACAGAATTGTTACTCAGGGACAGACACAGAATTGTTACTCAGGGACAGACACAGAATTGTTACTGAGGGACACAGAATTGTTACTGAGGGACACAGAATTGTTACTGAGGGACACAAAATTGTTACTCAGGGACAGACACAGAATTGTTACTCAGGGACAGACACAGAATTGTTACTCAGGGACAGACACAGAATTGTTACTGAGGGACACAGAAATTGTTACTGAGGGACACAGAATTGTTACTCAGGGACAGACACAGAATTGTTACTCAGGGACAGACACAGAATTGTTACTCAGTGACAGACACAGAATTGTTACTCAGGGACAGACACAGAATTGTTACTGAGGGACACAGAATTGTTACTGAGGGACACAGAATTGTTACTCAGGGACACAGAATCGTTGAATTAAAGAGTATGTCAGACAACATGCAGAGGAGTGGCAGAGGAGGCAATGTTTTAGGAGCGAGCAGACATGGCAGCAGAGGAAGGGGTCGAGGCAGCACTAGTCGCAGCCAGAGGCCAGTGCTCCCGGTGTCATCCAGCGGTCGTGTCTCCACCGACAACCCTGCCGTCATCGATTGGTTGGCTCGGTCGTCTTCCTCTTCCCAGGTCACCTCTGACACCTACAGCCAACGGTCGGTGGGTACGTCAGACACAACCGTTAGTTGGCATGGCCCGGGAGCAAGCCCACTGAAATCACGTGTCCTCTACCTGCCCCTGTCCTTTGGTGTTCCCTCACCAAGCGAAGTATCTCATGCTGTGGGCTCAGCCCCACTGTACAGTGAGGAAGAGCTAACAGAGGGCGGTCAGGAACGGGGGGAGACATCCGCCTCTTCAGCAGCCAGGCGAAGAAGTACTGGCGAGGAGAGTGGCTCGGTAGCCGGTCTAGAGACAGGTCTGTCTCTTGACCCACACGCAGCCGAGGGGGCTAGTAGTGAGGCGGAGACCCTAATTGATGATGATGAGGCTGATCGCACTTGGCAGCCTCGTCGTCATCAGGCTATTGCTTCCGCATCATCAGGAGAAGAGGGTGCCAGCTTGGCAGCGAGCAAAACAGTCGGTGGGTTGCCCAGGAGGCAGCAGGGTCGCAGCAGTGTCAGTGGAGGCAAACGGCCACGGAGTAGAGCACCAGCTCCACTGCTGGTGGGTTCCATTTTGTCATAGGGTGCTGGCAGATTACGGGCCTCCCATTGCTGCTGCCAGGCCCGTAATCTGCCATGGGCCCCAGTACCGCCTCCTCATGCTGCTGCCAGGTCCAGAGTGTCTCATGGGTCCCTGTACACAGCCTCCCATTGCTGCTGTCTCCATCGCCACACTCTGCCATGTGCCACTTTCAGGTCTCCTCACACTGCTGGTGCTGTCCATTTTGTCATAGGGTGCTGGCAGATTACGGGCCTCCCATTGCTGCTGCCAGGCCTGTAATCTGCCATGGGCCCCTGTACCGCCTCCTCATGCTGCTGCTAGGTCCAGAGTGTCTCATGGGTCCCTGTACGGACTCCCATTGCTGCTGTCTCCATCGCCACACTCTGCCATGTGCCACTTTCAGGTCTCCTCACACTGCTGGTGGGTTCCATTTTGTCATAGGGTGCTGGCAGATTACGGGCCTCCCATTGCTGCTGCCAGGCCCGTAATCTGCCATGGGCCCCAGTACCGCCTCCTCATGCTGCTGCCAGGTCCAGAGTCTCTCATGGGTCCCTGTACGGCCTCCCATTGCTGCTGTCTCCATCGCCACACTCTGCCATGTGCCACTTTCAGGTCTCCTCACACTGCTGGTGTGTTCCATTTTGTCATAGGGTGCTGGCAGATTACGGGCCTCCCATTGCTGCTGCCAAGCCCGTAATCTGCCATGGGCCCCCGTACCGCCTCCTCATGTTGCTGCCAGGTCCAGAGTCTCTCATGGGTCCCTGTACGGCCTCCCATTGCTGCTGTCTCCATCGCCACACTCTGCCATGTGCCACTTTCAGGTCTCCTCACACTGCTGGTGGGTTCCATTTTGTCATAGGGTGCTGGCAGATTACGGGCCTCCCATTGCTGCTGCCAAGCCCGTAATCTGCCATGGGCCCCCGTACCGCCTCCTCCTCATGCTGCTGCCAGGTCCAGAGTCTCTCATGGGTCCCTGTACGGCCTCCCATTGCTGCTGTCTCCATCGCCACACTCTGCCATGTGCCACTTTCAGGTCTCCTCACACTGCTGGTGGGTTCCATTTTGTCATAGGGTGCTGGCAGATTACGGGCCTCCCATTGCTGCTGCCAGGCCCGTAATCTGCCATGGGCCCCTGTACCGCCTCCTCATGCTGCTGCCAGGTCCAGAGTGTCTCGTGGGTCCCTGTATGGCCTCCCATTGCTGCTGTCTCCATCGCCACACTCTGCCATGTGCCACTTTCAGGTCTCCTCACACTGCTGGTGCTGTCCATTTTGTCATAGGGTGCTGGCAGATTACGGGCCTCCCATTGATGCTGCCAGGCCCGTAATCTGCCATGGGCCCCTGTACCGCCTCCTCATGCTGCTGCCAGGTCCAGAGTGTCTCATGGGTCCCTGTACGGCCTCCCATTGCTGCTGTCTCCATCGCCACACTCTGCCATGTGCCACTTTCAGGTCTCCTCACACTGCTGGTGTGTTCCATTTTGTCATAGGGTGCTGGCAGATTACGGGCCTCCCATTGCTGCTGCCAAGCCCGTAATCTGCCATGGGCCCCCGTACCGCCTCCTCTCATGCTGCTGCCAGGTCCAGAGTCTCTCATGGGTCCCTGTACGGCCTCCCATTGCTGCTGTCTCCATCGCCACACTCTGCCATGTGCCACTTTCAGGTCTCCTCACACTGCTGGTGGGTTCCATTTTGTCATAGGGTGCTGGCAGATTACGGGCCTCCCATTGCTGCTGCCAGGCCCGTAATCTGCCATGGGCCCCTGTACCGCCTCCTCATGCTGCTGCCAGGTCCAGAGTGTCTCGTGGGTCCCTGTATGGCCTCCCATTGCTGCTGTCTCCATCGCCACACTCTGCCATGTGCCACTTTCAGGTCTCCTCACACTGCTGGTGCTGTCCATTTTGTCATAGGGTGCTGGCAGATTACGGGCCTCCCATTGATGCTGCCAGGCCCGTAATCTGCCATGGGCCCCTGTACCGCCTCCTCATGCTGCTGCCAGGTCCAGAGTGTCTCATGGGTCCCCTGTACGGCCTCCCATTGCTGCTGTCTCCATCGCCACACTCTGCCATGTGCCACTTTCAGGTCTCCTCACACTGCTGGTGTGTTCCATTTTGTCATAGGGTGCTGGCAGATTACGGGCCTCCCATTGCTGCTGCCAGGCCCATAATCTGCCATGGGCCCCCGTACCGCCTCCTCATGCTGCTGCCAGGTCCAGAGTCTCTCATGGGTCCCTGTACGGCCTCCCATTGCTGCTGTCTCCATCGCCACACTCTGCCATGTGCCACTTTCAGGTCTCCTCACACTGCTGGTGTGTTCCATTTTGTCATAGGGTGCTGGCAGATTACGGGCCTCCCATTGCTGCTGCTGCCAAGCCCGTAATCTGCCATGGGCCCCCGTACCGCCTCCTCATGCTGCTGCCAGGTCCAGAGTCTCTCATGGGTCCCTGTACGGCCTCCCATTGCTGCTGTCTCCATCGCCACACTCTGCCATGTGCCACTTTCAGGTCTCCTCACACTGCTGGTGGGTTCCATTTTGTCATAGGGTGCTGGCAGATTACGGGCCTCCCATTGCTGCTGCCAGGCCCGTAATCTGCCATGGGCCCCTGTACCGCCTCCTCATGCTGCTGCCAGGCCCGTAATCTGTCATGGGTCCCTGTACGGCCTCCCATTGCTGCTGTCTCCATCGCCACACTCTGCCATGTGCCACTTTCAGGTCTCCTCCCCACTGCTGGTGTGTTCCATTTTGTCATAGGGTGCTGGCAGATTACGAGCCTCCCATTGCTGCTGCCAGGCCCGTAATCTGCCATGGGCCCCCATACCGACTCCTCATGCTGTGACGTTGCAACAAGGTGGAATTCAACCCTACATATGTTAGACCGCCTTTACGAACAGCGAAAGGCCATCACCGATTTCCTGATGTTACAAGCGGATAAAGGTACTCCCCTGTGTAACTTAGATGTCAGCCATTGGCAGCTCATGCGGGCGTGTCCCTTTCCCTTAGATGAAATATTACAGTGCCTCCAGCCGTTAAAATACGGCAAATATTTAGTGAACCAATATTTGGACACCTTGATAATTTGATCACCACTTATTATTATACCTTGAATTCTTTTAGCCAATATGATTTCGTACCATACACACAAAATTTGCCTTATAATAGATAAATATAAAAATTTATTTATGTACAAAAATTATATATATATTAACACAAAACGCAAAAGACTGGTGATAAATGAATATTGGTACACACAATCAAAAATATACCCTACCAATGTATACACAATAATAAGGTTTCTAACTAATTACATCAATATCACAATTTTTAAATGATCTGATTATTTAATTAAATTTATTAATAATTAATAATTTCGAGTATCTCAAAGGTTATATTCTCACAAGCCGTGGCCATAGGATTGCAAGAAGCTAGCCCTTGATATATTATACTCTGATTATTAATATTCAATAAATTATGAAATATGAAAAAAAAATTATAATATGGCACACACACAATTTTTTTAACAGTAAAAACAGGATCTCTCTACATATATATCTAACTACCCAATATTGTTGTGATACACTAAGGTAATTTCTATGATTCCACACAACAGAGAAAATAGGTAATACAAAATCAAATAAACAATCTCACCGCACCCGGCATTCAGACTAGGCAACTCTCCCGTGGATTTAGCTGGCAGTGGAACGCCTTTAAAATGATGACCACAGGGGAAAGTGATAGATTCAGTTCAATAGTGTGGGAGAATGTAGGAAGTTATAAGGACAGAGGTTTAGAAATTTAGTAAAGTTTTAGGAAGTTTGAAAGGATGGAAGAGTAGTTTATAGAGAGGTCTCTTCAGATGTCAGGTCTTCAGAATCAGGTCTTTCTTTTGAGTCAGGTTTTCTTTTGATGAGGTTTTTCTTTTGATGAGTTTTTTTTCTTTTGATGAGTTTTTTTTTTTCTTAAAGGTGCACGGGCTTTTTATATCCACTAATCCATTGTTCTAAGATACCTTCCCACCAGGCTTCTTGATTGGCTAGTTGAGAAATGTGTGTACATAAGCTATTTCTCACCTGCCCCCGCCAGATGGCGGTCATGTATCATAGAACAATTTGAGTATTTGAGATGACTCATACCTCGGGTGGAATCTTAAGGTAATTTCAGGGATAAATATACGGCTTTTTCCAGATATAGAAGTGATCATACCTATAATATTCTAAATAGGGACCATGATATATAGGTGTATATTCAGTTATTCCTTCTTGAAATACCATCCTGTTTGTTTCCTGATAAGACATGTAACTAATGCTAGTTTATAATACATCTTACTTTCCATCATCTCAATACTCAAGTTAGTGATATATAGTTCCCATTGCTGAATATTTGGTGGTGTGTAAAACCTATCCTTTATAACATCTTATTTATAATATGTTTTTGTAGTATATTTTTGTAGTTATACAGTCAATTTTTAGACTTAAATGTCCTGAATTTTAACTTCTTTGTTTTAGAATCAACATTTTCTATGTGTAGGGAAAAACTCTCTGTTTGCCTGGCTCTTGTATTGGAGTCACAGTAAACAACTGTTAATGCTTTCACCCTTGGTGGACAATAGTATATTGTGATAGTTTCAGAGGTCTGTTGGTTTATCACACTCTACAAGGTTTTGGGTAAGCTCTCAGACAATCAGTTTGGTTCCTCTATTGTCATGTGTTAGACCTTGTATATGTTTACCCTGCTATTGAAGTCTGAATAATGGTGTTTGACTCACCTGTAGAACTTCAAAATAGTCCTTATTGTCTCTCTTATTGAGGGAAAAAAAAATTCCCTTCACCCCGTTCTACATTTCTCTAACTAGATGGTCATTCGACTTTCCAACCAAGACAAAATTAACCCCTTAACATCCGGCTATGCTGAGCTGCTTGTCATATAATATTATGTCTTGATAAAGTCATATTTTTGAGACATAATTCAAAAGGCCCCACAACAAATCCCCCTTTTTTTTGGGGTACAGGCACGTGTATAGGGGTGTCTGTGTCGCAAAACATGAGTGGGACTTTTGGCTAGAGTGATTGTTCGTCTTCTCTCTCCGGTGAAGTGAATGAAATAAAAAAAAAAATTTTTTTTTTTTTTTTTTTTTTTTTTTTTAATAATAAAATGGCAGCGGTGATGCTGGTTGGTCCTCAACTTGACTCGGCGTCTTTAGATGGACACTTCTGATGACGATCCTGGTCTTGTGATGAGGCCGGCCTGGCCTGGCACATCCACCTTGGGGTCCATGGGGTCCTCCGCACGACAGGTCTCTTAGACGGTCTCCTAGGCGGGTCTTTTCCTCTGGACTGGCCCTTGGTGGCCTGGGACATCAGGTTATCTCTCCGGATCGATCTCTGGCATCTGGTCTTTCCCACAGGACATTATATAGCTTCCTTCTAGGGTCTGGTCATTGACACCTCCGATCGCCGGTCTGGTCATAGTCTGGGCCTTCCTTTCTAAATTATTAAAATGAACAGTTTAAGTATTGGATATACATAAAATTATATTACTGGATCCTGTAAGGCAAAAGATGAATTATATGTTCAAAGGAAATTTAAGAATGATCTCAATATCTCCAGATAGGAACTGGTGGGTTAGTCTTCCAACAACTGCAATTGAGACTTCGGATGGCAAGCACGTAATTGATTGATGTGCACCCATCTATCACTGATTTCACCATACCGGGTAACCTGCAATTTATATGCGACCGGAGAGATTTTATCAATGATAGAGAACGGACCTTTCCAAGATGGAAGGAATTTCCGTTCCTTGATCTGGTCTCTTGCAAAGTTGTATAGATAGACCTTGTCACCAATCTCATATTCCTTCTTGGAGGTTTTGAGATCATAGTATGTCTTAGCACTAGTTGCAGCTCTTTCCAAATTTCGCTGGGCAAAGGCAAAAGCATATTGCAGATGTTTACGTAAATCCTCTATGTACTGGTGTGTGGTGGTAGCATTGATCAAATTTTGATCTGTAGTGCGATACAATAAGTGCTGGGGCAGTACCATCCGTCTACCTGTCATCAGTTCAAAAGATGACATTTTTGTAACTGTATTCGGAGTAGCCCTCAACGCCATCAGGACCAGCGGGAGTTTGACATCCCAATCTTTGCCTGTTTCCTTAACAAATTTCTTAAGGACGTTAACGATGGTCTGATTGTATCGTTCTACACCACCACTAGAGGCTGGCCGATAGGCGATATGCAATTTCCTTTTAACCCCCAAAATTTTCCACAATTTGGCCATCACTTCGCTAGTGAAGTGCGATCCTCTATCAGACTCTATCCTCTGTGGTAGACCAAAACGTGAAAATACATGATTTATTAGCAATGCAGCACATGTCTCGGAGCTATTATTTGGTGCTGGTATACATTCGACATACTTGGTGAATAAACATGTAACTGTTAACATATACCGATTTCCTCGTGAAGATTTTGTTACGGGCCCAATAAAATCCATCTGAAGGTCTGACCAAGGCATACATATCCCCCTCTTCTGGAGAGGTGCTCTGTGAGTTGGCTTGGTAGGTTGAAATTGGGGACATATTAGGCAACCTTGGCAGTACTCCTTCACATCACGTAACATATGAGGCCAGTAGGCATAATCCCGCAGGATCTCATACGTGATCTTCTCTCCACGATGACCGGAAGTGGGAGCAGCATCATGGGCATGCTGTAGCATCAAACCTCTAAATTTAAGTGGGACGACCCATTGTTGTACGCCACCCTTTGAGGTTCGTATCAACAATCCCTGGTATAAAGAGAATTGGGATTTGGATTTCATTAAGATACGTAAATCCTCCTTCCCACTACATACTTCCTTATTTATGGGATTTTGGTTGGGATCTTCTATATGACTATAAAACAAGCCAATTATTGGGGTCTTCTTTTTGGGCAGTAATTAAATCCTCACTAGGGAGAATCGTGACTCCACTGTAATGCATTTGGATCACCAGCTGTTCTGGCCTGTTGCCCTGGTGACAGCTTCAACCTGTACGGTACCTAAAAATTGATCAATGTCTAACAGTTTCACCGGTGATTGCCCCTTCCTTGGCTAGAGAATCGGCCAGATCGTTCCCTTCTTTCTCGGCACCTAGAACCTTGGAGTGGCCTTTGGTCTTCTTGAAGTGCAGGGTGATATCATTGGACCTTACCAGTTCATCGATGTGACAAAAGAGCTTACCATGTTTCACGGGTTTGTGATTACTCTTGTTCATGTTGTTTCGCTTCCACCTAGGGAAATACTCCACAAAACTATTCCTGACATAATTGGAATCGGTTATGATGGCACACTCTCTGATGTTGAACTCTATAGCCATCTCAACTGCTCTAAGGATTGCAGTAAGTTCAGCAACCTGACTGCTTTTTGGTCCAAGTTTGTATCCCACAGAAATTGGGGTGACACACTTGGGTCCAAACGATTCCAATACCTGCCACTAGTTGGAGCTGTTCCCCATCCTTGTGATGAAAAGCACAACCATCCACATATACACACGGCAGCTGTTTACAGTATTCTTCATCGTAAACCTTGTAGGGAGAGAACAGTTGTTCTTCCAGAAAGTCAGTGTCCGGGGCCTCCATAGCAGGCGTAGTTGCGGAACAATCATGGAGCTCGGCTAGGCCCTGGGCTACTGG